GGCTTGTAAAAAGAAACTTCTAAGTAGTCCTAATGCCTAAGGCAATCAAGGTTAAAAGCAAAATAAGTAATAATTTTTCTTAAAACAAAATACTTTGTTACATTCGAGAACCATAATAAAAATGCCTTTATACTGCTTCTAAGAATGTTTTGTCAAAGATGTATACCACTATCTGTTCTTTTTCAATGTTCATTACCTGCTTTATATAAGGATATTACCTACATGTAAAAGAATCTTGGGTAAAATTAAAGCTTTCTCTAGGGAAAAACACGTTTTATTTGATTTAAATATTAGAAAAATTAATCCAGCGCCCTTTCCTGCGATCAGTCAAGATGTTTATTTTTAATTAGCGAGCCTTTCAAACATGGTAACTGAGGAGCACATTTTTGGTAATCTTCAATCATTTGCATAAAGCTAGATAGCTTTTCAAAATTCCAATTAGGTTACGATGTTTATCTCAAAACAGAAAAAAGTAAAATTTATTTTCTGTTTTTAGAACGATCTCTTAATTATTAAATTAGAAAGAGTTTTCAGGATGCAATAACAGACATAGGAAAAATAGGGTAAACGTTCGCGTATTGTTCCAAACATCATGTTTGTTCCCTAATGATAATGAACATGAATCAAAACAAATTCCTTTATTAAAATACGTGCATTGAAATGAGTTTTCTCTTAAGATTATTTGCATCTTCTTATATATTGTTTGTGCCTATTAAAGGATTACTTTACAAAATATATAATTTTCTTTTGTCTTACAATTCATTTTACTGTTTTAATTACAAAATGTAAGGATTCTATTATCTTTTTGTAGTGCTTCATAATGCTGGCTTTAAATATAGTTCAAAGAACAGAGATTAGTATAATGTTCTAATAAACGAGAAATAAAAATTAATTTTCATATATGTGATTCTTTAATGCATTTGGTTATATCATTAATTATCAGTTTAAAAATGGAAAGTGAAAGACCACTATATTAAACTCCATTTTTTTTTTCATCATGGCCAGTGTTTTAAAATATTCCCTCTCTCTCTCCCTCCTTTCCACTCTGTCTCTCAGTTCAGTGCCCGGTCCTTTAAATTTTAAAAATATTCGTGTAAATTTCCCCTTCATTGCTGCTTTCAGAGAATGAGCTTCCCTAAATTTTAAAATAAATTCGTCTACGTAGTGCATTAACCCTCAGAAACTGCCTCTGAAGGTCATTTCAAAATTTTCCATTCTAACTGTTTAACTTTACGCCAGCCTTATGCAAGAAACGACCAATATCACCGAAGCAAACAAGAACTGACATTCATTTGTGATTTCACTGAGTCAGCCCACATTCATGTTCTCTAATTATTTGTGGATGATTAGATCAGAGAAAATCAGAAGATAATCAGAAGCAGAGATAACAATAAGAAAGAGGGAAATTCAAGTTGCAGGAAAGAAAGAAATGAGGATATCTTAATAGATATTGTAGTATTAATATTACTCTGTATTCCTATTTGAATGTAGTTTTCTTTTAAAGTATTAATATGATATGAATATAAATGAAGATCTGCACCTGATACTATATATTAATATTATTTTGCTAACCAGAGCAAAAGCGGTTTTTTAACATGTCTCTGACCTTTGTTTGTTAACCAATTTCACCACTTCGCAACGTTAGCCGATTTAACACCTTTATCTTGTCCAATTGTAGACACCATTCGACATACGGTTCGCAATAGCCAAGTCCTGGATACGCATACCACCTTCATACATTTCAACAATAGCTTTATTCACATCTATGGTGATCCTCATAATTTTCGCCGTTGCTTTCCTCTTCTCACTAACTTTCCCTAAAACTCATTTTAGATAAATTTACAAAACATTTACTCTAAATACGCAAAATGAGTTTAAACTTCAGAGATATGGCACGGGTTGTTTACATAATAATATTATTAGGCGAATTGATGCCCATGCAGTTGTGCAGTTGTAGCACTGTCAGTTGTAGCAGTTGTAGCACTGTCGAAATAGGTAACCAAGTACAGAGCGCGCAGTCGTGAGTCATCGAAATCGAGTCATATTCCAAACAAATATCGTACACCATTCAAACGTTTCTGAGTCCAAACAGAACGTGTACCAAGCTGGACATATTTCAAAGTGAACGTATCCCGCACCCCCCCCCGAGGTACCATTATAATCCCTTTTAAAGATGTTCCTATAAGACTAGCTTTAAAAATTGCTAGTTTTGAAGTTTCGTCTACTACGGAATTCACGTTTGTTCCTGCATCATTTTGTTTATGGTGAAAATCATTTTAAAAGTCTTCTTTCGTTGTTTTGATTATTTGTTTGACAGAAAAAACCACATTTTATTGGACGAGCAATTAGTAGCAACAGGTATAATTTTTCAAGTTCACCGTCCTTTCAATGTATATTTGATATATACTGCTTTCATAATATCATTGAAAGAAATTTATTTTTGAAATTTATTTGTTAATTTTAAATTTATCTTCATTTCTTTCAATTTATCTTATCACTTTCCAAGATAGATTTCGAATATGCTTATATCTGAAGAAAATTAATAACTTAATATCCGTGTGTTATAGTTTAATGAGATTCAGTGCAGAAACAATACAGCTTCTTTTAGAATCTAAAAACCATATTTAAAAATATCATGGATGTTTTTTTATTGCGTTTCCATTTAATAGGGTCCGAGTCAATAATGACATCGCTTTTTTTAGGAACTAAACGAATCTCTAGAAGTATCATAGACGTTCGTTTATGTTGAAATATCACCGGTGTTCATTTCATCAAGTGTTGCTGAAATGAGGTTCAGCGCAGCTATGACATCATCACATTGCTCTTTGGAGTCGCAACGAATCTTTAAAAATAACGCGAATTAATTTTATTGCGTTACGGTGTAATGAGATACTGTTTCATACAACCTAAACAAATCTCTAGAAATATCACAGATCTCCTTTTTATTGCGTTACGTTTTAGTACGTTTCAGGGTTTTACTGCCGTAACGTTGTTTGATCTGAATGAACCTCTAAAAATTTCACGGGTTTCCGTTTGATAGATATATACTCGTTTCATAGAAGCATCATGAATGTTCGTTTCATAGTTCGTTGTAACGTGAGTTATTGAGATTCCGTGCCATGATTACTTTGCTCTTTTACAGCCCAAAGGAATCTCTAGAAACATCACGGGCGTTCGCTTTATTTCGCAAGCATTTGTGAAATTGTAATTATAAGATGCACCTTACTGGTGCACATTACACATTTAGAAAATATTCGGTTTTTAGATGCGAGGAGATATAAAAAATCAACACTTCCTTCTCAGAAATTCAAACTATGTTCTTACAATTAATACGCAGATATGCTAAGGACTTACAGAAAGGGACATACGAGATTGTGTGATAATTTCTTATATAGATAAATCATAGTTTCTTATATAGTCAACTGTGAGGCGTTAAATGGTCCTATAGTGGCCGAGTGATTAACACCTCTGAATACTGGTACTTCGGCCTAGTTTGAGTTGGATTCCAGGCAAACATATTGGCTTAATGTTTGTTTCTTGTGGTTTTCCCCATGTATAAGATAAATATGAGTCAGTTTCCCTTGGAAATTCCTCCACGAACACAACCCTCCTCTCAGATAGATAAGCTTCGCGACTTTGCCACATTCAAATAACCTACTCGTTAAATGCAATAATGTTGAAGATAGCGTTTATGATTAGCTCAAAATTTGGAACCATAGGTAGTTGAAAATTGCAGAAAGTTCGAATGATCTATGTTATGCTAACAGAAATACCTGTTACAAGTTTACGTTATTTTACAAGCAGTTTGATCCGGAAAACAAATTCATTTAGATCTGTATTCAAAATAGAATGAACACACTGTGAATACACAGTGTGAATATCAGAAGAATAAACATCATTAGAAAAGAATATAATTGTATTATAAATGGCTATTACTACCTCTGCTATGCCACGCATTTTCTGTTCCTTTTCGTATACTCCATTTTCCAATAAACATCTTCGATGTATGCTGATGGTTGGGGATAACAATATTCCTATCATTCTGTCATAAGAAAACGTAACGCTTTTAGAGGGCTCGGCTAACCCTCTCACGGTTAAACCGTGATTGACTGTATTCTTGTTCACTTTAAGAAGGCGCAGGACCTAGTTCACTTTAAGAAGGCGCAGGACCTAGTTCACTTTAAGAAGGCGCAAGACCTAGTTCAAGTAGTGACGAATTATTGTCAACCATATTTAAAATTGGGCCCCGCTGCAGAACGTATTAAATTTTATGTAGGAAACGTAAAAATTCCTCGGGGTTCTTCTCCGGGGTTCTAAACCCAGATGCTTCACTTTTTATATGAAAGTATTAACCGCTTTTATTATAGAGTCTATTAGCTTTTCGAAGCAGGGAATACTGTAATGAGTAATATTCTCACGAGGATTTGATTTCCAATCGTCCCAACTGTGGGCGCGGCTTGCTTCCAGTTACACCACGAAGGCACGCTGTAAAGACGGAGAAAATTCCTCACATTCACATTCATTTAATGGACAACTGGGGGGGGAGAAGAGCACCCTGTCCCTATATTCTAGTAGTGGTAAATTATCATCTACCTCATATTTATTCGGGACCCACTTGTCGAATTATTGAAACACGAAAAATCAACAGTGCTTCGACCGTATTCGAAAACATACCTTCCGATTGTTAGCCTAGACGTGCTTCCAATAGTACGTCCCGAAGGCACATGATAAGGAAGAAAAAGCTCCTTACAACATAACGAGAGAGCATATGGAGCAATGCGATTGCTTTACGCCTTGTTTAAGGAAAATAAATGAAGCGAAGTTGAATAACCGGATAACAATGAAAAATCATTGGAAATTACAATATAATTAAAATCATTATTTTTGCACAAATAATATACTTTAAAAAAAGGATTCAATTTTAATGGTCATCAATATTAATTAATTATTCCCATTTCTGGATGAATCTATTCACTAACTGACTGTTCACTGAATAGGCCAACAGGTGGAGCTGAGGTCACTATCAGTTCGAGAGTTACTACCAGAAACTGATTTCTACATGACTTATGATGGATCAGCTACTATGCCGGCTTGTCACGAGACGGTAACATGGATTGTGATGAATAAACCTATTTATATCACCAAACAACAGGTATACAAACATATAATATTTAATTTGATTTCTTTCTTTTATTTACGGATTATGAGTTCCGTATTTATTCTGATCAGTTCAAATTTCTGTTTGTTTCCCATTTTGGTTTAATATATATATGCTAATGAAAATTTTTACAGCAGGAAAATATACAGAGATGTCCAGAAGTCCGTAAATATTTCCATCATTTATAAAAGTCGAACAAATGAATATAATAAGTTGAGGTTTACGCAGATGTGAATCGCAGTAAAGGAGATTGTTTTTTTTTTATGGTGTTAAATATCTATTTCAATTTTCAGCAATACATGACTTATCAGCAGCAATAGCTAGAAAATGCATTCAAAACGATTAAAGGAAGAAAAACAAGAAATTTGTTTTTAAAAGCATACTAAAATTCAGTTTTAGGGTGTTCGCGACAAGAAGTTATTAAATACCATTATGATTATGAAATATTGCAGCAGAATCTTTGACAAAAAATTGAACTAATTTTTTTCATTTAACCAATAAAACTTCCCTCTCTTCCTGATTCATTTTAATTCATGACAGCTAAATCTGCTTCGTTACACTCATTGGCTCTAATTTAATAATTCTTTAAATCTTCATAGATTTTTATATAATATACTGCTGTTGTATATACTGCTGAAAATGCTTTAATAAAAGAAATCTTTTCTACAGTCTTCAGGAAGGTGTATGAATAGCCTTCTAATTTCAATAGCAAACTGTATAATTTAATACATTATTAGAATTGTATTTCAAAAAAAATTATGTATCGCCATTTACTTACTTCAGAATTATTTGTTGCCGTTTTTATCACAACCAATTTATTTCGAATAGATGGAATAAAATTTTCATCAACCCCAAGACCAGACTCATAATCAAAAATATACAAAGAAAGCTCTCGTACGTAAACCTGAAGATTTCAGTCTTACAGGTTTACGTTGTGGGGTTATTTCTCATAGCATTTCGTGACCCAATTTTTTGAATAAATGGTACCGCGACTAAAGAGGTGTATGTGGATATTTTAGAGAACACAATCTTATCAAGGACAGAAGAGAAGATGCCACTGTAATGGCGTTATAAACAACATAATAATCCGAAGCATTTAACAAACCTGAAAAAGAGTTGATTTGAACAAAATAGGATTGATTTTCCGCCAAGGTCTCCACTCACAGGACTTTGAGAAATTCGTTTTGTAGCATGGTTTAACCATAAATTAAAAGGCTATCACTAATCAAACTTGAAAGAGATCTGGGAAATCGTGCCAGGTGCATAGTATTTTATTTCTACTGAAAAATGTCAAAGTTTGATCGACTCTATGTTAAAACAAATTAGTTATGTCCTTAAAATGAAAGGTTTTGTAACTAACTATTAATAATGAAGTTTTTTACTTTTTTAAATAAGTAAAGATTTTTACTCTCAACAAACAAGTGTTCCTATTTTTCGCCCAGTGCATTTTGGGAACAGTTCAGGAAACATCATTATGCCATGAAAGTACACTTATAGCAGATACCTATGCAAATAACGAAATGGGTCACTAGAGTCCACATAACACACATGAACTATAATTTAAAAATGTTAATAATTACACTTAATAGATACTTAATAGACACTTAAATAGATGTCATTCTTAAATTTTCAAACTAAATGTGTTTCAACGTTTTGTTCAGAGCTATACATGATCTCTTTTCTTAAAGAGCAAATTTTTTCGAGAATGCGGATTGGTTCATTCTTATTGAACCCAACAAATATACAGAGTAATATACTGAGGGAAATAAAAGAAAGTAACCAGAAAGGAAAATGAACAGAAAACAAATTTATGAGGCGTAATCTTAATATATAATAAAAAGTGATAATTGAATTTGCCACAAATGAAAACAAATTAGCATAATAATTAACTTTTGAAAAATACCGATAATTTATGTCTTTCTAAATATTTTGAGCCTAAATTCTGTTTTCTTCATTTACATGTGATTAATTTCTACACGAATTTCAGCTCTACGCTCTCCGGAAACTCATGCAAGGAGACCAGAGTAATCCAAAAGCACCTTTGGGTAATAATTACAGACCACCCCAGCTCATGCATCACAGGGTTGTTCGAACTAATATCGACTTTAATCGCCCAATGGTAAGTAAAATTTTTCTTCTTTTTTTCACTGACATTAAATAGTAGTTGTAATAAGATTTTGACGTGTTCGAGCTAAGTTAAAGATCAGAAATCTGAAACTTTATATCTCTAATCTTATCTCTCTATCGATTTCATTTTATAAAAGTATTCTTTATATTAAGGGGACTCATACACCTTAAACCCCCTCATGATCTTCAAATATGTGACTGTTGCAGGAATTGAGATATTTTATTTATTTTAAAAGCAATTACTTCCAACTTTTTACAGCTGACTACATAATATAGCTGCTTTGGAAACTAGTAACCAGAAAGTTTGTGTTGCCACAAATATTTTTGTAATTTAATCCTGTCTTTGTGACAAAAATTTATTTTGCGTTCACTCCATGTTTCCACCTTGCGCGCATGATATTTTAAAAATGGCTAATGGTACTATACTTGAAATTGGCATGGAAACTTCTTTATATGGGCACTATTTTCTAACTGAACCAACAATCTGATGAATATTTTCAAGTATTGAAAAATTTTTATGGACGAAAACATTACACATTTTTTTAATAAAATACATTTTTATAAACTCAACTCCAAATAAAATAAAAATTTAACATGAAATTTTAAATGAAAATCTTAGAGTTTTTGGTTCACAGTAGTTTCCAAATGCTATAAAAGGCTATATATTAAATATGGAATTAAATTATGAGAACAGAACAGAATGTTTTCAAAACTGTGCGCGCAAGTTGGAACATGACGAAAATGTTGTTCACAAAGCGGATTCTTAAATTATGGACAAAAATATTTGTGGCAACACAAAACTTTCTGATTACTATTTCAGAAAAAGTAGCTATATTATGTAGTCAGCTGTAAAAAGTTGGTAGTAATTGCTTTTAAAATAAATAAGTTATCCCAATTCTTGTGACAGTCACCTATTCGAACATCTTATGGGTTTTAAGGTGTATGAGTTCCCTTAAGGCAATGTTGTTTATATTAATGCAATTCTCTGCTTCTACTCCAGAAGCATTTCATCAAAAGTATCTGCATCTGCTTAAAATTAAGAACTGTCCACATTACCTTTTCAAATGCTCAGTAAAGTAACTTTGTAACCAATCCTTTAACATAAACTGTTGGACTAACTGTGAAAACAAGGGTGCCCTCTGGTGAGTAGCCAGAGAAGTACTTCAGTAAAAGCCAAGTGTCTAATCGGATAGGTTGTATCAAATTCTTGCTCTGTAATTTTCTAAAAGTTAAATTCTCTGGTTACTCACCAGAGGGCACCCTTGTTGTCACAGTTATTCCAACAATTTATGTTAAAGGATTGGTTACAACTTCATATTTATCACCCATCACAAATAACTCTAATATATAAATGTATTCCTATAAAAAGAGAAGAACGTAAAAGAAAGAATATCAGAATTGTAAATATGATAATAAACATCGACCCGTATTTATGTCTCCACTAATAAAGAACACTTTTGCCGACAACAAATTCCAACCCGCGTAGTAGTTCTGTCCTTTGTTTTATCATTACGTTTCCCGTACATACAAAATGCACATGCACTTACAAGTCACTAATAACATTTATATTCCAGCTTAATTAATAAAAGGAGAACTCCTCACAGGCGTTGGATCATCAAAATTGTAAAGGTTTCGCATCTGCAATTTATTTTTTTACAATTTTACTGAAGCACTAATGGCGAAAAAGAACTTAATCATGAAACTGGAGATATACGAGACCTTCCCAGACGTGAGTTGGTGACGATTACTGTCGTACCAATGGACACAGGTTCGAATTCTGGAAAAGGCACGGATGTTTGTAAATGTGTAGTGTTGCGCTGTAGAGGGCACTCAAAATATTCGTTTAGCTGAAAGTCTTCTCGAGTGGTTTAGTGATGAAGAAAACGGGGTGAGATAACCTTGGACCTGTATTTTGAGGTGGTCTTCTTCAAAACTGGGGCTGAGCTGAGCAAAGTTGTAGTGTCACCTATACGTTATTCAAGACTCATGCCAACAACAAACGTAGTATTGCGCTGCTCTCCACAATAAAATTCGGGGACCCAGACAAATGAGATAAGCCGCTGCAACAGCAACAACAGAACCACTCACAGAAATTTGCATTCGATGAGTAATACTAGTTTACCCCACTTTAAAGTACTAATGTCCTTGTCTGCTCTTAACAAGAAACTATTTAAAAGGAGATCTATGAGCAGTATGAATCTATCTATGAACAGTATACATCAAGTAATTAAATAATGAATTCGAGATATACCAGATGTATTTACAAACAATTTAGAACCTAAGAGAAAGTGGATAGTAAAATTCGTAGAAATTCAAGTATTGTTATGATTTATTCTCTGTTTAAGAACTTAACTTTGGAATCAAGTATTTTAATCAAGATGATAGGTTTCACCAGCAATACAATTTCATTATAAATTATAGTTTACTGTAAATATACTTCAGGTGACGTAAAGAAATAAACACTCTACTTCGGTTACTTGGTAGTGGCAGCTAACTAATTGTCCCTTGCTAGTTGATATCACTGCTGTACAATATTGTGCATAATTTGATGAAACTATCACTTGTTTATTCTAATTCCACTCGCAAGCCCTAACCATTATGCTTTAAATTCGTGAACCGCAGCTGACTGTAATAAATTTACAAAAGTTTCAGTCTTTGAGAGCATGTTTTAGAAATATTTTCTTACTGTTATCTTAGTACAAAAAACGAAGAGAATTAGATTATGGACGTAACGAGTTCAAAGTTTTGGAACAAGAAATGTGAAAATCTACTGTATCCTCGCCAAAACTGAAGGTAGATCTTAAAGTTGTTAACTGTGTTGTGTTAAATCGCTAAATTTTAAGAATTTAAAATTTTTAAACTGCGTGACTAAATATTCTATGGTGCCGAACAAAACTATTGATAATGAATGATGAAATTTTAACTGTAAATGAACTGAAAGCTCTTAATCCCAAACTGTGAAGAGTAGGAGATAATGAATGTATTGATAATGAATGATAAAATTTTAACTGTAAATGAACTGAAAGCTCTTAATCCCAAACTGTGAAGAGTAGGAGAGGAACTGTGTGATTGGACTAACCCACTTATATTTAATCATTGTTCATAACTCAATTAACTCAATCAAATGCAAATTCATACTTAATAAAACTTAACCTGAAGAATAAAAGAAGAATATCTCTTCGCTAGTGCTCGAGTAGAAATACTATGTTATCTCTTAAACAAAAACTTTACTTAAATTCACTTAAACTACATACTCAATCAATTACTAAATTAAGCCAAGAGCAAAAGGATTCAATTTCATAACTTCAAAACCTCACAAACACCAGAGAACAAATATTCATAATACCACCAAACAGTTCTCCTCAAAAAACGTCGAGAGTTTAAATACAATCCTGGAACATAAAAATCACTACAATTAATCCAAACACATTCAAATAGTTATAAATAAGTGGCTAGTAAAAGAATTAAAGGCAGCGTTATGAAAAATCTTAAACAATACAGCGAGTAAAACTCCAAGTTTCTTAAAAGGCTGAAACTAATGGAGTGACTGGACAGACCCGAGTAAAGTAACACAAAATAACAAACTAAACATAAAATATACTAATCAAACACATTTAATTTCTCGAATATCCTAATTCAGATAGCTGACCAGACTACCCTTACATACAAGAGAAAAATATTCTACGTTATTTCTTTCAAGTCATTTATCAATAACAAATTTCCAATTTAACGTAATAAATGATTATTTTGATTACACTAGAACATTAAATAAGTAATTTAAAATGTATCTTACATACGTTTAAGATGAAAAATACATATATATATCATTCCCAAAATTAACACTCATATTAATAATAAGTATACATTTTCTTAAACATTCCATAACTCGTAAATTTAAATGGTTGAACAAATTTTCTAATCCTTCGTTTACAGATATATTGAAATAATTTGTCATTACTTAAATCTTCTAATCATTTCGTTTACATGTATGTTAAAATAACTCACATTACTTAATTCTTGTATATTAATATAATTTATCATTACTTAGTCATAGTTTAAATAGAAAAGACAATAAAAAACAAAATCATCACTCACAGGATGATTTTGTTTTTTATTGTCTTTTCTATACATCAATCTTCAAAATCTAAGTTCATACATCAATCTTCTATTACTGGACTTGCCATCATCGACGGAATATTCGGGAGTTTTAATAGTTCAACAGATTGCCTTGCTTATTTCCTTTGACCGCCTAGGAATTCTCCACAGAAACCCAAACCAAGCTAATTGACGGATACAGATCAAGAATATTTAATGGCTGGGTTCACGATAAAGTTTTCACACCAGTTTCGTGTGCATGCAAGGTGAAAAGTCTGTGTAGAATTATGGTAGTCTGTGTAGTCTAAGAGTATTTAATGGCTCGGTTCACTATGAGCTCTTACCAGTTTTCGAGTTCGGAAGGCACAATCATGAGACGCAGATGTAATTAAAACAGTCTGTGCTAAAATCTCGCAGTAAATTTGACTTTGCATCTCGCAGTAAATTTGACTTTGCATCTCGCATTAAAATGCTAAATCATCTCGGACTAAATTTTGTTCTCTTTCACCCAGATTTTCAATTAGGGCCCTTCGCAAGAGAACACTCTTCCGAGTAACCTCCAGTCGGGGGGGGGGAGACGCGGCCCAAGCCTTTTGCGCAGACCAGCCCGCAACGGGGCAAACGGCCCACGATCTCTTCTTTTTAGCCTCATATCATTGAAAACTCCAATCTATCTGACTTCAACAGCCTTAGAAGTTCCGAAGAAAACTCAGATTCTCCACCCACTAAAAACTATAAACCCAAAAATTCCGCATAAAATTAAACTTAACGAACCCGTGAATTTATCTGTTTATTTTGCTGAAAAACTTCACACCCTCAGCAAATCGAAGCAGAAATGTTGTATATGGAACGGTTGATCATCTGGAAACAGAGAGTCACCCAGAAACGTGAGAACCA